GGCCACGAACAAATTTTTTTTTCCGACCGCGAAAAACAACAAAAAAAAAAACTAGTGGCAGCGCTCGGCCGGGTAGTATTTAATTTTGATTTGATTTCATTTATCTTTGGTTTCATTTTATTTCTATTTTACATTTTACTTTCACTTGCTTTTATTTTAAAAAGAAAAATGAGAAATAAATCGAAATTAAAAAAAAAAATAACAAAAATATTCCTACAAATTTGAATATTTTTAATGGCAGGTCTCGGCCACCACACCACTTGCTTTTATTTTGAAAATGAAAATGAGAAATAAATCGAAATTAAAAAAAGATATAACAAAAATAATTCCTATAAATTTGAAGATTTTTAATGGCAGTTCTCGGCCACCATACATACCTACTAGCAGTTTGTCACAAACCGCTGAACCGCTACATAAGACCATCTGTTGGCTCAACTTCCGTTACCGTCTGGCAAGGTGAACTTTTGACCAGAGAGGAATCGGGGCCATGCCGAACAGAGATCACTGTCAAATGTCAAAATAATCGCCCAAAACATATTCCAAATCTTACCTTTCACCAATTTCCAAGAGAAGAATCCCTTCAAAAGCAGTAGGTTGTCAAAATTCGGCGAGACGTGAGCAAAACTTTCAAGGTAAGTTGGTGAGGTTATCGATGTAATAATGCGCACTGTTATTTACAAGAAAACCTTAACTGGGAAGCGTGTTCTGAAGAAGCATGCAGCTCCGAGTATTTTTTGCTGGTCAAGATCACCCACAAAAAGAAAATCTCCGAAAAAGCGAGAACCACTGCGTGCACGCGTGCGATTATTTGATGTAAGCGTGTCATCGCCCCCAGCTGTCACCATAATAGGTAAATATTGTTTTCGGTATTGTTTTAAACATTTCCTGGTAAAAATCTTCGACATATGATAATATTAGTTAATTATATGTTTCTCATATCAATCCATAGCATCAACCTCCAGCCAAGCTTCTAATGAGGGAAATCTAATGGAGATCCAAACGGAACCTCAGGAACTCTCATCCTGTTGATCCTCTCCAATTGCTGTAGACCTCCCCGAGCCTGTGTACACACCAACCTTGAATTGCCATGACTACATTTTTTCTCGTGAGCCTGCCAAGACCACAGAGGAGCTGCTTGCAGCAGCTCATCAGAGAATTGAGGAGTTGGAGGCAGCAGTGGAGAGGCAAACGATATATAAGCAATTAAAAATGAAACCTAACAGCAGTGTTAAGTTTTATACAGGGTTTCCTTCTTTCGATATTCTTGTTGCTACATTTAGAGCTGTGAGTCCCACCGCACAGAATATGTATTCTTGGTCCCAAATGCAGTGCCTTAGAAATAAAGGGATCACTGAAGTTGAGGGTGTTAGGCAAACTATGCAAGGTTGCAAACTAAGGTTATTTGATCAGTTCTGTCTAGTTCTTCAAAAGTTGAGGGTTGGTACTTTAAACCAAGTGTTAGGTGATAATTTCAATATTTTCCAAACAACTGTAAGCAGGGTTTTTATTTCTTGGATAAATTTTCTTTATTTCATGCTTGGGAGAAAGCTACGATGATCAATCGCGTAGTGGTCCTCCAGGTGCCTGGTAACTAACGGTATGTAAATAAAGTGTGACGTCAATGCAAGGGGTCTATATAGCCTTCCCAGGGAAAAATTCAGAAGCACATGCCCACTTGTTTCAAGTCTCTGTACCCAAACTGCAGGGGTATCATTGATGCATCTGAGATAAAGATCCAAGCACCATCAAGTTTAATGTTAAATAGTGCAATGTACTCATCGTACAAAAGCCATACCACCTATAAGAGAAATGTTGTTATTTCACCATCTGGGGAAATAATTCACAACAGTTGTTTATTTGAGGGGTCAATATCAGATAAAGAGCTGGTGAAGCAATCTGGTCTTTTGCCATTGCTCCAGCCTGGGGATCAGATTATGGCTGATAAGGGCTTTGTTGTACAAGATCTACTCACACCTCTTGGTTGCAGTGTAGTGATGCCATCATTTTTAAGCAGCAAGCAACAGTTTTCCAAAGGTGAACTCCAGGAGAGCAAAAAAATTCACAACCTTCAAGTGCATGTTGAAAGGGCCATAAGGAGAGTCAAGGAGTTCCATTACTTTGATAGGGTAATCCCACTGACTATGGCAGGCAGTATAAACCAGATATGGACAGTGTCATGTCTAATTACAAACTTTCAGGGACCTTTATTTTATGACTAACTTTAAATAAAAAAGCTTACTTGATTTTAAGGGAGGTGCCTATACACATTTGTTCAAAAGTGTTATTTTTCTATGCTATCCTTTTTTTTTTCTAGAGATGTTTATCCTGAAGTGAGCAAAGGGGGAAAATGTTGAATTTCACAGACTATAATAACATGTCCATGTTAAAATTAACGTTAGAGTTGAATCACATTCTTTAGCTATCTCATTGCACTCGGGTAAACAAGGTTCTAAGGCACACAGAGGATTGTTACATGTAATTAAACATATTGCTGATAATTTTAAAGCCTTTGTGGCTCAAAATATATTACAAATATGTATATATTGTTTACTTTCAACATTTGGGTTAAGATTAATTCACCTGACTAAGATATGAGATAATAAAATCCTTAGTTGTTCACAGCAAACATACTTTTTGAAAATGGCAATTCAAAATCAATCTATAAGAAGGTGACAAATTACTATACATACATACGCACACCCAGTCGTGGCACTTTTCCTTTAACACAATACAAAACCATCCTTATGTCATTAAATCCCCCACAAAAATATTAATTCATTAAACACAAGTATTAAAATGAATGTCAAAATAGAAGAGGTTGAGCTTTTCAAGCATCTCTTAGAAAAAGATGGGATCAAAATAAATTCTTTCACAGTGAAACTCGCCCTGACGAAAGACAAACAAATCCTCCCAAGAACTGCCTTATATATCCCCTTGTCAATGTCTTCTTCACTGGAAGGGTTTCAGCAGCCATTTTTTCGACAAAGGCATCCGTGAACAACGGTATGTCCCCCAGATTGCGGTGCCAAAACTCTATAGTACTCATCGATTCCGCCATGACTGAGTTTAAAACACGCGTGGCCTCGCTTTCATGCGAAAAATGGTGACGTAGCATCCAACATGGCGTGACTGCGATTAAGGCGAATTGCGTCTTTTATCAGTGAAGCTTCAAATACAACAAAATGTTCGAATGAAGTCAGAAATATTTGATTCATAAGAATATCTACTTTGAAAGTGATATCTGGTGGAGTAAAACTCAATCATTTGGGGAAAGAAATCGTCCTAATACCAACAATGTTTTCTCCGACAGTGTGGTCTGCTTCAAGTAGCCTACAGGAATGGGAAGGGCCGAGCCTTATTGATGTCATGTTCCTCTGTGACGAGTGGAAATCTTCGAAGGCTGGATTATCAACTTTCAATCGAGAATTTGCAATTAATTTGGCTGCAGCCACGACTGGTAGCATGAAAATCCACTGCTACGTCTCTAAAAGCGATGATCGGGACAGAGAAGATGCCAGACTACATGGTGTAAATTTAATCACAGCTAGAATTTTTCTCGGTTCATATGCATTAGATCCAATCAAGGGGTTAAAGATTCGACCCTCAGAGCTCCCAAATCCACACCTGGTTATAAGCCACGGAAGAAAGTTGGGTAGTGCTGCGTTTTTCTTAGTGGAGGCCGCTGAGTGTAAATGGATTCATTTTGTCCACGTTTACCGTGGAGACCTTGGGAAATACAAGAAAACAACAGCAGTTGCAACAGATACAATCAAAGAGAATGAGAAGCACCAGATGGAAATTGACTTGTGTAAAGCAGCGGATGCGGTCGTCGCTGTTGGCACCCGTCTGCAACAGAAGTACAGCAGAAGTCTGCCAAATGTCAAAGTGGAGATTATTACTCCTGGAATCTTTAAAGAGTTTTACAGTGAATCACAGTACACTATACACAGAACACTTCCAAGGATTTTTAATGTGGTCTTGTTTGGCCAAGCTACCTTTGAGGGTCTTTCCCTTAAAGGATTTGATATTGTCGCAAATGCCATAGGTTCTCTTGGTAAGAGGTTTGAGTTGACGTTTGTTGGCTCATATCCTGGTGAACATAGGAAAGTTGAGCAATGGTTTCTTGAAAACACTTGCATCAACCGAAACCAAATAATCATCTGTGGATATTGTAGTGATCCAGAGGAACTTAAGATGATGTTCTATCAGTCGGACTTGGTTGCTATGCCATCCTGTAGCGAGGAATTTGAGTTGGTGCCCCTCAAGGCCATTTCTGCTGGCATTCCTATACTTGTGTCTGGTGAATCTGGTATAGCTGAGGCTTTGCAAGAAGTAGTAGGTGGAAACGCTGTCATTGTTGAATCAAATAAAGATGCAGATGAATGGGCACGAAGGATTAGAGAGATATTTCAAGAAAGCACAGAAGAGAGAGAAGCCAATGCCATCAAGCTTCGTGAGAACTATGGGAAGGTCTTTTCTTGGAGAACAGAATGTGAGAGATTTAAAAGAATGATTGAAAGAGTTGTGAAAAATGGTATGTTCAGTACTTTTATTTTTGCATAAATTTCAGGTGCTACATTTAGTGTGATTTTAGCCTATGTGTAAAAGTAGAAAGATTACGCTTAATGCAAAAGGCAAATCATACGCACAAGTAAATGGTGTAAGTTTCATGAGATATTTGTGTAAAAGTCCTGATGTGGATCAACTAGCAGTAATAGTTCTCTTTCAACTGCTTCACTCTTTTTTGCAATTTCTTCCATCCTTTCAGGATATGAAGCCTTCCTTGTACAGGGGCATAGCTGGGGTTTTCCAAATTAAGAGATGGGGTTATAGTGGAAAAAAACCTAGATATTAATTGCCAGTTGTTGAAAAGGAAAGACTTGAACCTAATTCAGATAAAGGATACTCCCTATCTCTCATTCCTGCATTGAAAATAGTTGAAAACTTTCATTTGTTTTGACATTTTCAAGAGGGAACTGGATATGTTAAGCAAGGACACCATCCAGGGATTGCCAGCTATATATGGCTTAAACCACTGCTCTCCCTTGTGTATTAGTGGGCTCATATTGAGGTGGTGTGAAGGCCCATTTTGATGAAATGCAAAAGCCATTTATGAAAATGCTTTGGTAAAAAAGAATTTTCCAAAATGTGGGTTTTTGAAAATGGCTTTTGAAGCCAAAATATTGACATGGTGTTTTTGCCACCCGAATATTCCATAGGTTAATTGCTTAAAAGATGACTTATAATTAGGGGGGGTTTTCGGGCAACATAGGACCCTCCCTAGGTACACCCTTACTGTCAGTGTACATGAGTTACTAAATAAAGGGAGTAAGTTCTGAAGAAACTGTGATGTTGTGTCAGTGTCAGTGTCAGTGTGGGGAGGGGGGAGGAGTATGGCACAATAATTTGGTTATATCAACTGAGTAGATAATATAACACAAATTGGCCGCCATAAAGAGTTTCAAAGCTGAAGTTTCAAGCATGAACCTTCATCAAAGCAAAATGACAAAGGGCTAAATGCTTGAAACTTCTGCTTAGAAACTCTTTATGGTGACCAATTTACAAATAATCAACTCAATTGTATAACCAAACCAAGGCACTGATGGTTGTTACTTTATAACTTGCCAGCAACATTAAGTGTTTTTCTTAACCTAATCTCACAATTAACAAAGAAACTCGTTAGAAATTTTGAAATGTTATTGTTGCAAATATTGAACCAATTTGTTACTCTCCATTCCATTTGCAAGACTCGTGTGCCCTTCACTAGCTCTGCCAGGAAGGTAACAGATCAAGAGATAACATATCTGATTATCTAGGTGACTGGAGGGTGTGAGGGTTGATGGAATAGGTACATGTTAGTTTGACACATGAAAGACACTGAATGCTAATATTGCTCTGTGCACTTTTAGATGGAACTTCAAGCCCATCTGTTATGTTCACCACTGGTCCTGAAAAAGAACTCCAGAAAGACATAACTAAAATTGTGAAACCTAAAATTGCGAAACCTAAAATTGCGAAACCTCGAATAAGAAAAGGTAAAGTGAAAAAGAATCTGGAACTCGCTTTAGGTCAAATCAAAAATGAGAAACTAAATTTATATACTGGCAGAT